GCTGGGGAATTCTGGGAGTTGAAGTCCACACATCTTCCAGCTGCCAAGGTTGAGAAACACTTGAGTATTATCCCATAGTTCTGGACTTTAAAATGCTTCAGCCCCTTTTAACTAGCGAACAGTTCCTGCATATCTCCATCAAGGTCATTTTCCTTGCTCTCTACAGATGGACAATCAGCCTCCAACAATTCTACTACCAACTGTTGGAGGTGTGGTTCATGAAAATCAGTGGTTTTGCATCATTTTGAGGCAAGGCCAACTATGAACATTTTAATAATCTGCTATCTGTAAAATATGATTACTAAGTTGGGAAACAACCTAAGAATAAAAATTCTAGGCTGCTCTTATGTATGATGCAAGTTGGTTCACTTTGTATCATTGCTACCACCTGGATCCCACACATGGAGAGGTCCCCATAGGCATTCTGTGGCTGGGGGTGGGTTAAAAAAAAGTCAAGGGGTCTCCACTGTGCAACTGAAGCCCCATCCCTTTGTACCTGTGGGTCAATGCACATAAAAAGAGGTGGGCTTTCAATTGCATTGTCACGATTGTCCTCTTGACTTTCTTGACCTCTTAACTTTTTTGACCGCCTGCACATGTTGCTGGACTTCATCCAATTTGGTATTTGAAAGGATCAAAGGGATCAATACATTTCATTCAAGGCAGTAACAATAATGAGTTAAAATACAATGTCATGATTTATTTCAGAATTTCAGGTTGGCCCTCCCATTCCCAATTCCTTCAATGAACAAAAAACAATGCCTTCATTCCACAATCGGTCAGATTTGCCAGGGATCAGATTCTTAATATAAATAGGAGATAGACGGGCAACAGAATCATCAGTTTTGCATCCAGTCGCAGCTTCCAGGAGGAGGAGGAATGAACAACATATTTCAGCGCCAAAAAGCAACTGTTCCATCTTGCCTCGGTGACCCCTGATGCACCCACAGAAAATTGCAAAATCAGAAATGTAGGCACGAGGCTGGTATTTTGATTTTAACAGATGTGAAGTCCATCTCTGGCTAAGATATTTCTGAGCATGAAGAATAAAGGCCTCTGTCTCCAGTGAGTTTAGAAACATTTGTTCAGCATTCTTCCCTTTCTACTTTCTCCTAGGAAGAGACTTGGACCTAGAGAGACTTCTGATGTTTTCATAGCATCACCCAACCATCACCACAGTGATTTAAAGCCTGTCTGCATTGCTGTTATTTTGGCACAACGATGGTTGGATGGCTCCAGAAGAAGCTAGAAGTCGTTACTGGGGAAATAACCAACAGAGTCCCTACTTTACATGCGGAAGATTCAATGGTCGTTGCCGAGGGAGCCAAAAACTGCATGTTGGCAGACGTGGCATCACAAATTTATTTAATTGCCTTTTATATGGCCGTCTGTCTCATCAAGTGGCTCTGGATAGCCAACACACTAGAAACAGCCATACAATACATATCAAAAAAATAGTAAACCCATAAAAAAAAGCAAAAAGCAAAGAATGACAACTGAGGTAAACCCATCACAGCAAAGTCACACATTTCATCAATTCGATTACCTCCCGACCCCACCCAACCACCCTGAAAATGTGGGAGAAAAGCCAGGTCTTAATTCAATTCCTTTTAGACACCACCCAACCCCGAACTGACTTGGGGCAGTGTACAATAAGACCCAACAAAATAGAATAGTCAGTAGAATAAAGTTATAAAAGGAAAAGGAATAAAGGACAAGAGCATGTGGTGAGTCTAGCTAACAACATCCACACCCCCAAACTTATCTGGCAGGGGTTCCAACCACCCTACCCCAGTGTTTCTCAACCTTGGCAACTTTAAGATGCGTGGACTTCAGCTTCCAGAATTCCCCAGCCAGCCATGCTAGCTGGGGAATTCTGGGAGTTGAAGTCCACACATCTTAAAGTTCAGGGGTTCCAACCACCCTACCCCAGTGTTTCTCAACCTTGGCAACTTTAAGATGCGTGGTCTTCAACGCCCAGAATGCCCCAGCTAGCATGGCTGGCTGGGGAATTCTGGAAGCTGAAGTCCACGCATCTTAAAGTTGCCAAGGTTGAGAAACACTGCCCTACCCCAAGGCCTGGGAGAACAACTTCAAGGCTTTACCGAACACCAACAGAAGGGAGTCACATAGATTTAAGGGGGATCTCACTGCAGAGGGCAGTCACCACAACAGAGAAGGCACACTTCCTGGGACCCAATAGATGACACCATTTAATTGAAGGGGCCTGGACCATGCCAACCCTGTTGGCTCTTACTGGTCAGGATGATACCACAGAAGATATCTCAGATATCCAGGTCCTATGCCATATAGGGCTTTATAGATCATAACCAGCACCTTGAATTGCACCTGGAAGCCTATTGGTAACCAGTACAGCTTGCAAAATAGGAGTGTCACATGGACATACTGAGTCATACCCATTATTGCCACCCCATTCAGCTTTTTGAAAAAGATTTTTAAATGAAAAAAATTTAAAAATTGGAGGTGTGCCTGTTGCAAAGCACAGCTCTGTGCCTTAGCATAATCTGTATTTCCATCAGTGCCTCTTGGTCCTACACATATCTTAGAGGCATTCTGGATTGATTATATGCCATCAAGTCAGTGTCAACTCTTAGTGACCACATAGATATATCTTCTCCATGATGATCTGTCCCAAACCTAGTCCTTCAGTTCTTCCAATGGTGGACTCATCACCACTGTAACTGAGAACATCCACCTTGCTGCTGGTCGTCCTCTTCTCTTTCCTTCTACCCTTCCCAGCATTATAGACCTCAAGAGATCTAGGTCTTAGCATAACGTGTCTAAAATATGATTATTTGAGTCTGGTCATTTGTGCCTTGGATGAGAACTCTGGGTTGATTTGTTTGATGATCCATTTGTTTGTTTTCTTGGCTGTCCACCGTATTCTCAGGAGTCTTCTCCAACACCAGAGTTCAAAAGTATCAATACTCTTCCTATCCTGCTCCTTCAAAATCCAACTTTCACTTCCATAGAGTGTCACAAGGGATACCATTACTTGCACTATTCTGATCTTTGTTGGTATAGACAGACATTGTCTTTCCTTGCATAGTATGAATGGATGTCTTTGCCATTGTCATCATCATTTGATCATCTGCCTCCAGCATCTTCCTACATCACTGCTGTCCAATGTAGGTGCCTGCTTGCTTTAACTGGGCAGCTGGGATGACCTTCATGCATTGGGTGACCCTCCTGCAAATGTATACTTTTGGCATACACCCCTGACATTTTTCACTCATCCCTTCCAGGAACAACCCCACCACCACTACAATGAGGCAGAACAACAGGACTTGGGTGGGGGTGGAGGTAGATGCACTCTTAGAAAACCACGACAGTAGAAGTCAGTGATCCAATGGAAATATTTTGGGATATTTCCATTGGATACTTTCAGAAGTATCCAAGATAATTCTGCTTCAATTTGGGATAGGTAAGTGGGGAGAGAGAACTTGCATTCATACTCAGATCTACACACTTTAATGCAAACATTTGCACCACTGCACTGATCTTATTTATATAACATCAAATTGACCATCAGGATATATAACTCTTCCTTGAGTTTAGTTCCAGGGAGTGTAAGATGCCAGGCTGAAGTCTTGATTTCTGGAGGAAAGTATCAGGGGGCAGCCAAAGTGAAGTGTGGTTAAGTAAGAAGTTAACTGGGAATGAGCGTACATTTGTCTTTATTTGACACAAACTCCTTTAGTTCCCTGCGTGCTTTTTTTTTTTCCAGTCTTCCCTAAACTTTCCCATATTACATCAAACTTTCTGCTTTCTTTGATCAGCAGAAGTCTGGTTACACCTTTTCTGACTAATACATTTTATTAGCAGGCATAACTTTTGTGAGCTACAGCTCACTTCATCAGATGCGACACCTCGCAAAACTTCTGGATTTTAATACAATTTGTTAATCAGAAAAGGAGCCACCAGACTCCTTCTGATGTTGGCATACCATAGACTAACATGGCTCTCCTACCATGTTATTTTGACCAATTCGGTTCACACCAGAGAGCAAAAACTTCCACCGAAGAAAGAGTACTTAGCCCTGCAAAAATCCAGCTGACCACTAGATGGCCAGAGACGCATAGCAAAATGTGTCTAGGTTGTTAGGTTGCTGCTGCCATCTAGTGGACATTGTGATTTTGCAGCCCAGCTATAGAAGCCCTAGTTCAGTGTTTCTCAACCTCAACAACTTTAAGATGTGTGGACTTCAACTCCCAGAATTCTCCAGCCACCCATGCTGGCTGGAGAATTCTGGGA